CGTCTCGGGAGGCTTGGAAGTTGATGAAGAATGTGGAACCTTTGAGACACCAAGAATGACTCAGCTTGATGTAGATGCTAGTCCATAAACTCTTAACTCTTAAGCTTTATGTTCTTATCAAAATAAGAACACAAAGAAAGCAAAAGATGCAAGTGTTCTTCAAGTTTTCTAACCAAAACTAGAGAGAAAGGGAGATGGAAAAGTGGATTTGGTCAATTGCATTAAGTGGAGAAGATGAGTGCAAGACTCATCTTTTATATGCATAAAGTGATTTTATGGACCATAAGTCCTTAACACTTTAAGACAATAATGTCTCTTAAAGCCTACTTGTCTCCCCATGCTTTTAAGACTTGTAATTATTTTCTTTTAAATAATCAAAAGCCCATGACATGCTTCCTAGAAGCATGTCACATTTTTATGATATAAAAAGAAGTCAAACTTTTATAAAAACTCACAAGCTATTTTATAAGTTATAAAGTTTGACTTTTGGCTAAAATACAAAAGTCTTTCTAGTCCAAAATAATGTACATGACTTATAAATCATACCATATGATATATGATCTTACTTGCTAATGAAAATTAATATTTTCATGAAACAAATAATTTCCAATTTAATTATAAGAGTTTTATTGAATATTTATTAAAATTGATTTCTAATAAATAATCAATTATATCAAGTTGTTGTTAGTGTGACTCATTAGTATCATATGTTAATTAGCAATATCACTTTAATATGACTCTTGAACATACTAGACCTTTCATATTTGTCTCATGATCAAGACTCAAGAGAATTTCGACACCTACTCTCTGTCGAATCTCTACAATAGCTTAAAAGCACACGAGTCTGAGGTGAAGAAGATTGCTGAGGAGAATAACAAAATGAATTTTGGTTGTCCAATGGCGCTCGTTTTGAAAACAACATGAAAGGAAGTTGAATCTGATGAAGAAGTTGAGGATAATGAATATGGTTTTCTAATCAATTTTGATGACGAAGTAGTTGTTTATTAATCCAATAATAGGGTTAATAAGTTCTACCAAAATCTAGGGGTGTGTATGGGGCGGTTTGGTTCAGTTATTGGTCAAAACCGAACCATAACCATTACAATTGGTTAATGTATTTCGATAACCATTGGGTAGCGGTTAATATTGGTTTTGGTTAATGGTTAATATCGGTTAACCATAATGGTCCAAGATGACATAAAAATAAAAATAGTTTTTTATAAAAAATGAAAAACATAAAGTCCATTGTTATAAAAAGTGAATGATATCATATATATAATTGTATTGATAAAAGATTACTTATCATATATAATTCTAGATAATTTCCCTTTAAATTTCCAATTCTTAATATAATTACATATAATATACTCACTACATCCTATATTTAGTGTCCACTTTTGACTTTTGAAGTCTTTATTCTTCAACTTTGACCTTAAATATTTTTATTTGTCTTATAAATTACTTGATTAAATTATAACAATGAAAAAACATTTAAAACACAATCCATTCATATATTTTGCCTAAAGTATTATATATCAATAACAAAAATATTTAAGGTCAAATTTGAAGATTAAAAACTTTAAAAAGTCACAAGTGGACAGTAAATGTAGAACGGATGAGTATATAATATTATATTATATCAAGAATATTTATTAATATTATTGGTTTGGTTCGGTTAATAGTGGTTCGATTTTAGATGAAAACCATAACCGAACCATATGTATTCGGTTAATCAAAATTAAAAACCGCATCATATCTTTTAGTAACGGTTCGGTTAAAATGGTTCGGTTATATGGTTAATTTGGTTATGGTTCGGTTTTTTGGTTAATATGCTCACCCCTACCAAAATCTAACTAGTGGAAACTTCAAAAATAGTTCAGTGATTAAGCCGATGACAAACTCTAGAGCTAGTCAGAAAAGTGTTGAGAAAGTGGAGAAAAAGAGAAAAAGAGAAGAAGATTGAGAAGAAGCTGAAAGGTGATTCCGATTACAATTGTAACTATTGTAACGGACATAATCATATTATGAATGATTTTATGCTTAGGAAGAAGGAGAAGAAAAAGGATAAAGTGGAGGATGAAGCATATTATGCTAAGAGGCTTGAAGAAGTGCGTGCTCAAACAAAGAATCTTTCTTTGGTTGCAAAGGGTGCTGATGATGATGAGGGGATATATCAAATATAGTCTTTTGGCTCCGATGACAAAGAAATGCGCCAACCTAATCACGGAGTCATGTTTGCAAATCATGAAGAAGGTCATTCTGTAAAAAAAGAGTTTGCTTGGTGAAGATTGAGAAAGATAGTGATTGGGAAGAGTTTAAAAAGAAGAAAGTAGAAGGGAGTGAAGAGGAGGAAGAAAAGTTGACTGGAAGGTGCTTCGTGACTACAACTTCAAAGTCTTCAATGACTGCGAAGGTACATGATCTTCTTGTTTCTCTTAATGTTCCTTTAAATTCTTACCATGCTATTTTATCTGATTTTGATGATACTTGCTCTTACCTTAATGATATGTTGATCTCTATGAGTAGCGAAGTGGAGAAATCTAAGACATTGATTTACGAAGCACGTAATAAACTGGAGGAGAATAACACTAGGATAGAAGGCCTAGAGTTAAAAATAATAAATATCATGATTGATAGGGATTCTATACGTATGGAAAATAGCATGTTGGTAAAACAAATAAATATTTACTATAATACTGCTAAGTGTCTGTATGGAAAATTAACTGAACTTTATCATTCTTCAGACATATGCAAGGAACAACATAGGAAGCTACTTTCGTTCATAATTTTCAAACGTGAATTAGTGGACGAAACTACTTTTGATTGTGAAAGTAAAGTAGCTGATTATGATAATGTTGCTAATGATTCGTATGCATATGGTATTGTGAATATAGATGATTGTTTGAATGTTGATGATGTCACACCCCCGACCGAGGCTGCGGAACACGTCAGGCTGTGCGACTAAGTTCATGGATCACATGTAAACTGAATATATAGCACAAGTACAACAATAAAAAAAAATAATATGTGTATTCCATATTGATATTTGAATACAAGGTTTTTACAGATAATAATAGTATACGAATTGCCTTAACAGATAGGCATATAATACAACAACAAGTAAAATAGGCCACCTGTAATCCATTCCGTCTTGAATGTCTATTTATTGATTTCCTGAGAATACATGTAGTTTTGAGGGTCAACACAAGGTTGGTGAGTGTTACAAGTTTTCTGCTAATAACAATAATACTTTTAATAAGTCTAAAAAGTATTTTCTTTGTATGTATAATAATAGTCAAAACAGTGTTTGCAATGAGTCTTTGAAAGCCAAAATGTATCTTTGTATAAGTAAATCCATACTTAAAACTGTGTTTGTAAAAAATCCTTGAATATACTTGAAAACCAACCTGTACTGTTACATAAGTAAATCCTTACTTAAAATAATTTTGAAAGCAACCAAGCCCATGGTTTGTAGTGTGAGAGTGAGATTCAAGTTAATGTTTATAGTGAGTCCTATAACCGAGCTATGTGACTGAATGTACCCCTTACAAACACTTCATTGGACGTTGTAGTAACAATTATAAACACTTATCACCCACTTCGATTGATCGGTCGAGGTTGTAGCTAGCAACCGTAGGTAGGGATGTCAACCCAGTATAGATCTATACATATGTATCTCGCTCCGAAGATTAACGGTTATAGTAGTGTGGGTATGTTAAGTGTTTAGACTCAACTAATGTATATAGTTTCACTAAAAAGCCCTTTAACTAAAGTATGTGAATAACTCTCAACCCTAACTTATTTGTGGATAAGTCAGTAGACAAAATGAATTTTATTGTATAAAGTTTATAAAAACCGAGCTTGATATGTATGTAAAAGTGTAATGTACTCGCTTTTATAAGAGGTACGTTCCAAAGTAATGAACATATGTACATGTATGAACTTTATGTATTTAAACATATATAAACATACATGCAAAGTAATAGCTTGAATCCTTGAAATACTACAAGGATTTATGATAGGTATTTTATGACATACAATGTTATAACATATTATATTCAAACTTTCATAATGTTATGCCATGAAGAGCCGATACAGACACACACGTTGTAGAGATAGGTTAATATAACTTTAGTCCTATATGAAGATGAGAGAAATGACTGAAGGTTAATTCGTATTTGATTAATTTGCTTTTGCTTTTTAATATAAATTATAAAACAATTATAAATTTATGATAGTTAATAACTAAATAACATGTTATAAAAATCTTAGTAACTAATCTATAAATTTATTTATAAAATATTAATATTTAATAACTAAATAATACTATGTTATAAAAAACTTATTTGATTTTTTCGTTTCAACCAAAACAATTAAAATTTAACCAAAACCAAACCAAACAAGGAATCATTATTCGGTTAACCAAACCAAATTAACCAAAAACCAAATAATCCGAACCAAATAAACCAAACATCATTTAGTTCAGTTTGGTTATTCGGTTTTGATTTTGTATCACACCCCTAAATATACTGATGATTCAACCTAGGGATGAGCATTTGGATCGGAGAACCGGCCGGAACCAGTACCGGATAGAACCGATCGGGCCGGGACCGAGACAATATTTTTGTGGATTTTTGGAATCGGGAATCGGTGGAACCGGCAACAACCGAAACCGTATGTTGCTATTTCTTGAGGACCGGTTCCAACATTGAAGACACGACAAGAACCGGTAGGAACCGGAACCGGAACCGGCGGTCCGGTTCAGTTCTTAATTTCGGCCGACATCGGTTCCCGGGCCGGGTCCGGTTCCAGCCGGGTCGGTTCCTTTGCTCATCCCTAATTCAATCGAACAACCCATTACCTTTTCATCACATCGGATCAATTATAAAACTGTTTTTTTTTTTTTTCTTGAAACACAATGTCATTAAACTAACCGTACGAGGGTAAAAGTGTAATCTTCCATATGCCGATTGCCGAGTATTATAGCCAGCCACCGCCCTTGGCAATAGGCCAATAACTTTATAACTTCCTTTTTTTCCTCTCATCTCGTAAACCCTCACCCCCATTCAAATTAGGGTTTTACACTCCCTATTCATCTCACACAGTACCTACACACACAGAAGCGACAGACGATCTGAAATCGAATTACAGAAATGAATAGTCTCCTCTTTAAAACTTCTTCCAAGAGACTCACTAACCTTGCTTCCCTTACTACTTGCAACCCGCTCAAACACCTTCTCGTTCCTTCATCCACACCACCCTCACCCGCAAATCGTAAAGAATCTCCTAGCGAGTCTCAAACTTCCCATCCAAAGTTTGGGTTTTTGAGGAGTTTTCATGGGTCACGATGGGCGAGTATCAGGGCTTCCGATGTGTCAACACAGGCTGCGGGATTTGCGGTTGCCGCCGATCACGCTTACGACGGTGACAGGGGTACGTCTTCCGATGGCCTCGAGATCTCTAAGCTTGGGATTAATCAAGAGATTGTCTCGGCTCTTGCGAAAAAGGGTATAACCAAGCTCTTTCCCATTCAGGTAAATAAACATTCATTACATGTTTTCTTTATCGTTTCTGTTTTTGTGTTTTAGTGTTCACATATTATTGTTCATCAAGTTTCGTGTTTGATTGCTACCTTGCTTTCATATGTCTAATTGTGCATCTTTGGAAAGTGAAATTACAAATGGTAGTTGGTGTCAGTTTCTGATTCTTTATCGAAGTACAAATTGTCACTGCAAATGGAAGTTAGTGTCAAAAGGTACAACCTTTAGGGGGTGTTTGGATCAGGAGACTTCAAAGTTATAATCTTTATAATGAGTTTTTCTTACTTTTTGTGAACAAAAAGCTCTTTAATTATATTTGACTAATGTATACATACAGTTGAGTAGAGTCAAAACTATGCATTGTATATACATAAATCATATGAAATTTCATTTGATTTCTACTGACAAACAAAACATGATCTTGAATTCTCAGAGGGCTGTGCTGGAGCCAGCAATGCAGGGGCGTGACATGATTGGGCGTGCTAGAACTGGAACAGGAAAGACTCTTGCTTTTGGCATTCCCATCATGGACAAGATCATTAAACACAACGATAAATATGGGTGAGGGACTTTTTTTTTTTTTTTTTTAATGATCTGTTTTTTCAAAATGGCACTTTCATTGCATGTAGAATCTTTCTGGGAAAATTGCATGAAATAGCCACACTTGTTACCAACACAAGCAATGCACTTCACTTCATACCTATAATAGCATGTTTTACATTTTCTTTAAGCATAATAGCAACATACTTACAATTCCTTATAGTTGAAAAATAGTTTGTGTTGCTATTTTTGTTAAAGAAATGTAAGTACATTGCTATTGTATGTAAAAAAATTAAATCCATTGCTACATTGGTAGCAAGAGTAAAGTATGTTGTTGTTTCTCTCAAGTTACCCATTTTTATATATTTGGTGAAAATACAACAGAAGAGGAAGGAATCCATTAGCCATTGTGTTGGCTCCTACTAGAGAGCTAGCTCGCCAAGTTGAAAAGGAATTCTATGAATCTGCACCGAATCTAGACACTCTGTGTGTCTATGGGGGATCACCCATTCAACGCCAGATGAGCACTCTTGATCGAGGTGTTGATGTGATTGTAGGCACCCCTGGACGTGTTATTGATTTGATCAAAAGAGGTGCTTTGAATCTATCAGAAGTTAAGTTTGCAGTTCTTGATGAAGCTGATCAGATGCTCAATGTTGGATTTGCTGATGATGTTGAAACAATCCTTGATTATTTGCCAAAAGAACGTCAAACCATGATGTTTTCTGCTACTATGCCAAGTTGGATTGTCAAACTTACCCATAAATATCTCAAGACACCCTTAACAATTGATCTTGTATGTTATGCACCCTCTAGTATGCTACTTTCATCTGTTCCTACTTCCTATTATAACAAGTTTTTGATTGTAGGTTGGTGATTCAGACCAAAAATTGGCTGATGGGATAACACTATATTCTATTTCATCAGAAATGCGGGAGAGACCATCACTTATAGGACCACTAATAACAGTATGTGCTGTTATCTGATTGAATTTCCTCATATTTTGTTATACTATATATTATTTGTTTACATTTTTTTTTTTTGTGTTTTTAGGAGCATGCGAATGGTGGGAAATGTATAGTTTTCACCCAAACAAAGCGTGATGCAGATCGATTATCATATGCCTTACAAAAGAGCTTCAAATGTGAAGCTTTGCATGGAGACATTTCACAAAATCAAAGGGAGAGAACTCTTTCAGGGTTTAGAGATGGGCGATTCAATGTTTTAGTAGCCACTGATGTTGCTGCACGTGGCCTTGATGTTCCTAATGTTGATCTGGTCAAAATCTTTTTTCCTTGGTATTTTTAATATTATATGCACAACTAATTAGTTTTTTCACTTTCTGATTAGAAACATTTTTTTTTTAATTTTCAGATTATACATTATGAACTTCCCAACTCATCAGAAATATTTGTTCATCGATCTGGGCGAACGGGTCGTGCTGGAAAGAAAGGAAGTGCAATTCTCATGTATTCTTCTCAACAGTGGAGAGATGTCAAGGGATATGAGCGTGAAGTAGGATGCAAATTTTCAGAGGTAAATTACAGAATTACTGAAATACCCCTCTTTTTTTTTTTTCTAGATTTATCATGTCAAGGACTAATTTCTTTTTTTGATTTGTTAAGCTTCCTCCAATTGCTGTTGATCCTGCATCAAGAATTGAGATGGGTGGCGGTTTTGGTTCTTCTGGTGGCAGATTTGGTGACTCTGGATTTGGTGGTAGATCGGGCGGCTTTGGTTCTTATGGTGGCTCGTCACCACGTGGTGGTGGCGGCGGCGGCTTTGGTAGGCCTAGTTATGGCGGCTCAGGTGGCGGTGGGTTCAGAGGGCCGAGCTCTGGTGGACGGTCTGGTGGCTTTGGTGAAGATTCGAGTCGGTCAGGTGGGGCGGGTCGTAGAAGTGGGTTCGGGGACTTTGGTTCGGACCGGTCTGGTGGTTTTGGTGGCGGACGGTCAGGTGGGTTTGGTGGTGGTTCGGACCGGTCAAGTGGGTTTGGGTCGGGTGGATTTGGTAGTCCGCGGTCTGGTGGTGGTGGTGGTGGTGGTGGTGGTCGGTTTGGTAGTTTTGGAGAAGATAAAGATTTCTAATCTGTTTGCAAGGTGACTTCAGTTTTTATAAAATTAAGAACAATATACACAAACACACACATATAACTTATTATAGAGTACTGACATAGATCTTTTATATAATTAGCAGGTTAGAATGAATGATAATGATATTGAAGGCAGCTGTTAAAGTCGTATATGGAAGAAGTGGATGAGATATTGAGTTGAAAGCTTGGTGAAATGGTAGAGTAATAGAAAGCCCCCAAATTGGATATGTGCTTCCAAATTCCAATATGATATTAGTTGTTTTTTTGGTTATTATTATTATTATTAGTATTAATTAAGCATACGACTAGTAAAAACATGGTCATGGTGATGGTGTTTTTAACATTTTAGTGAAGTAGACGAAAGAGGAACCAATCCTATCTGTAAATCTATTTTGGGACTTATTTGGGTTAACAATAAATACGTTGATGAAGCTTTATTATGAATTTTTAATGAAAATCTCTACTACACAAAACACTATTGGTTGCATATTGGACTATCCTTTAATAGAAAAACAAATTACTTCGAGTACGACTGATTGTTTGAAAGTTTGACTGAAACTGTAAACTTTATTAAACCACATGGACCATTTGTGTAATTTTAAGGTGCAATACAAAAGTCACAAACTAACCCCTTATTTAATATATTATTACCGTTTTCAAATTTTATTTTGCACAAATATAATATTTCCTGTTTAGCAAATTGATGTGAAACAATTAGCTGTTCTTGATGTGAAACATAAAGCAAGAATTAAATGGGCCATCGATGGGGATGAAAACTCTAGATACTTTCATGGGTTTGTCAATAACGACAACCGAAAGAATAGAATTAATGGTCTTATGGTCAATGGAGAGTGGTGTACCAATCCATCAACAATTAAAAAGGAGGTGGTCAGATTTTTTGAAAATAAATTCAAAGAGTTCTGCCCATCAAGGCCAGAATTATGTAACCTACATTTTAAAAAATCCACCTAGATGACGCTCGCACTTTAGAGTCTCCCATCTATCTTGAAATCAAAACAGTAGTTTGGGCTTGTGGGAATGAAAAGGCCCTTGGATCAGATGGGTTCACATTCAACTTCATAAAAAAATATTGGGACGTACTATTCGGTGATTTCGCAGCTGTTGTCAAACATTTTGAACGTTACAGGAGGTTGGATAAGTCGTGCAGTTCATTCTTTATTTCTTAAATTCCAAAAATCAAAGATCCCTTGAAGTTAGGTGATTGTCGCCCAATTAGTCTGATTGGGTGCATCTATAAGATAATCGCCAAGATCCTTGCCCTGAGAATCAAAAAAGTTATGGGTCACTGCATTGATGAAGCGCAATCCGCGTATGTGGAAGGGGGGGGGGGGGGGGGGGACATTTTGGATGGCCCCTTAATGATAAATGAAATCTATTCATGAGCAAAAAAGTCAAAAAAGAAAGTTTTGTTGTTTAAAGCTGACTTTGACAAAGCCTTCGACTCCATAAACTGGGAATTTTTGGACTCAAACCTTATGCAGATGAGTTTTGGTGAAAAATGGCGCATATGGATCAAATGTTGTCTCTCGAGTCTTCAAAAGCTTCAGTCATTGTTAACGGGAATCCCACGAAAGAATTTCCAATATCCAAAGGTGTACGACAAGGTGACCCGCTTTCCCCGTTTTTATTCATCATTGCTATGGAATGTTTAAGTGTAGCTATGCGATCCGCTTGTGAAATAGGATTATTCCATGGTCTTCATTTACCACACGGAGGCCCTTTGATCTCACATCTACTATATGCAGATGATGCTTTGTTCGTTGGAGAATGGTCAAAACGGAATATTAAAAATTTGGCAAGAATTCTTCATTGTTTTTACGTCTCGTAGGGCCTTAAAGTTAATTTTAATAAATCTAAAGTATTCGGTGTGGGAGTAACTCAACAAGAGATTTCCAGATGGGCCGAACCTCTTGGATGTGAACCTTCTTCCCTTCCGTTTAACTATCTTGGTGTCCCCATTGGTGCTAACATGAAACTAGTGAAGAACTGGAAGCCTGTTATAGATAAATTCAGATCCAAACTCACAGTATGGAAGTCCAAATCTCTCTCATTTGGCGGGAGGCTAACATTGTTGAAATCAGTTTTAGGGAATCTCCTCACTTACTCTCTCTCTTTATTTGTGGCACCTGTGAGCGTCATAGAAGCAATGGAAAAAATTAGAAGACACTTCTTGTAGGGAGGAAGGGAGGAATCGAACAGGAAAATTCATTGGACTTCATGGGAGAAAGTTACAACACCTAAAGAATTAGGTGGGCTGGGAGTGATCACTCTCAAATCGTTCAACATCTCTCTAATAGTGAAATGGCGGTGGCGCCTCAGGCAGAGCCGTACCTCACTTTGGGCTAAAGCGATTACTGGAATTCACAGGTTAAATGCTAGAGCTAAAAATTGCCTTTCTAATAAAGCATTACCCGGGGTCTGTAGCAACGTTGCAAGCGTGACCTAAAGAGTTAATAAAGCACGACATTTCAGTAAATCAAGTCCTCACCAGAAAATCGACACCTTACGGGTATTCATGGATCTGTGAACTAACTTCAGACGGGCGTTATGCAACCCGTGCTCTCAGGAACAGATTGGAGAACCATAAACCTGTTGACTCAGGCAACAGGGGCGGACGCAGGAATTGATAGTATGGGTTGCCAAAAAAAAAATTCCGGTCAAACATAATTGAAAACTGAAAAATAATTCATTACGTCTAATACAAAAAAAAAACGATTCATTACATAAAAAAAGTTAAAAACATAACTATCTACTACAATTTAAATTTGTCCTCTTCGTGTGGACATCTTTTGAAACCGCTCCATTACTTTTTCATTCTCAACTTTCACAAGTGCTTCGGTCTCAACATTGCAAAGTAACGCGTCGTTCAAAAAGTCATCACGAATTTTGTTGCGCAAGTCGGTCTTCAAGAGCTTCATCTTCGAAAAACATCTTTCCACACTTGCGGTCGCTACAGGTAAAATTAAAGCCAACTTCAAAAGCTTATAAACCAAAGGATAAGATCGATGTTTCCCCGTACTAACCATCAAACAAGAAAGCTCGGAAATTCCTTTCAAAGTGGTAAAATGCTCATCTTTGATGCAAGAGTGATAAAATATCTCTAGTTGTCCTTCAAGATCTATCAAATCCGAATCATCAAAGTCATACTTGTACAACTTAGCCAACTTCAACAACTTTGATTTGTCAAATTGTGCAAATGAATCACAAGGGCTCAAAGCACCCATGTATTCTAGTAACTGGGTGCTTGTTTCACTAAATCGATCCCGATATTCTGTAAGTTTCATGTCCACCACCATGTTGAAGATTTCAACCTCAAAATGAAATCTATTGGTCTTTGTGGTCGTACGGTTTCTTACACCAACATAAAAATCCTCCATTTCCAAAGTAGCAATATTGTGTGTTTGACAAAAAGAGGATATCTTTGGCAAAATGCTAGCAAACCCCGTGTCTCTTAAAGATTGCAATGCGTCCATTGTCCCTCTAACCATCGAAGCTGCTTCTAAAATGTCTAGATCTTTTTTTTGAAGTTGCTTTGATAATGTACCCGTGAGGCGTAAAATATCATACATCATATATAAGTAAAACACGAACTCATAAGATTTAAAATATGCTAAGATTCCAGACGCTTGTTGACGGTTTGCCAATGACCCTCCATCCACTTTCACAAATTCTAAAACTACAAGAACATCCGCAAACAACTTCATTAAACTAGTGAGTGTGTTGAAATGTGAACCCCATCTTGTATCTCCCGCTCGAACAAGTGTAGTCTCTTGATTTAAACCTCTCCCCCAAGTTCACCACTACACAAGCCTTTTTGCACCCTTTCTCTTGCTTGTTGCTGTAGTAAGTCTTTTCTTTTACACGAGGCACAAACAACATTAACCACCAATGAAATCTGTTCAAAAAAGTCACTAACACCATCATGCTTCTTTGCTACAGCCACAACCACTAATTGAAGTTGGTGTGCAAAGCAATGTATATAAAAAGCTGTGTCATTCTCTTGTAATATCAAAGCTTTCAAACCATTGAATTCCCCTCGCATATTGCTAGCCCCATCATAACCTTGTCCTCTTATCTATTAAAAAAATAAAAAAATATTTTATATAATATTACACATAAAGCGAATTAAATTAAATTGAAATAACAAAAAAGTTACCTGACTAAAACTCAACTTGTTGCTTGTAAGTACTTCATTTATGGCTTTTTTTAGTGTCAAAGAGGATGTATCCTTCACGTGCACAAGGCTTATGAATCTTTCTTTTACAAAGCCAAGACTATCAACATATCACAAAACAATAGCCATTTCTTCCTTTATTGAGACATCACTAGATTCATCGACCAATAAAGCAAATACATCTACACCAATCTCTTGGCGAATACTCCAAAGGACTTTTTGTGCAAAACAATGTACAAGTTCTTTTTGAATTTTAGGGGAAATAAGTTGATTGTTTTTAGGAGCATTTTCTAAAGTATTGTTGAAAATATCTTCATTAGTCTCCCGAATGGCTTTTAACACTTCAATGTAAAACCCTCTATTTCCCGAGTTAACCGACTCATCATGACCACGAAACGGTAAACCGGTTTTCAATAAAAGTCTAACAACAAGAATAAAAACACGTAATCGATCTTTATATTCATGGTCCTCCGCTTCGGTTTGCCTCCTCAAGACTACATTAATAGCTTGTTTTTTTCTCAATAAAAATTCACACTTTTCTCTTGCTTTGTTGTGCAAACTATCAACACTACCCACATGAGTCCGAAATGCATCTTTTTTATTCCAAGTATCAAAACCTTGGGAAACAAATGCATCTCTCCCTCCTCTTTGATTCATGAGGTCTCCAAATACATAACAATATAAACAATATGCTTTATTCTTTTTCACACTATATTCCAACCAACCAAAATCATCAAACCATGAAGGAACGAATCTTCTAAATCTATCACCTATTTTCTTTTTTGTAAACTTATGTAACCTTATTTGACAAGGACCTTGAAGAAAATACGCTCTTCTTACATCATCTCTTACATTTGATTTGTAACTTGTAATATTTGGCCTATCCGTCGGGTCCTTTGGAAGATCTTTTCAAATCAACATTATCATTAGGTTCATTAGAGCATGGTGTTTGTGGAATTGCATCAGAAACCGAAGGGGTTGATTGATTGGTGATTGGTGTTTGTGGGGTTGCATTAGAATTAGAAACGAAAAGGATTGATTGATTGGTGATTGGTGTAACACCCTGTTTCTTTATTAGATAAATAAATTAATTAATGAGCAAATGGTAGCCCAAAAATAAATAATTATATATCAAAGGATGGTCTCGAATGGCTAATTGTCACAGTTCTGGAAGTCAGGTGTTAAAAATGTGAGTTCCGGACTTAATTTGTAAGTATTTATGAGGTCAGGGACTCTGTGGTAACTATTTGGGTCTAATTTAAAAGGAAATGAGATGGAAGGGCAGAATATGTCATAATTAAGATATTTGGGGCTGTTTGGTAACTTTCGTACCTAATTTGTAAGGATTTTAAGGCTGAGGGTCTAAATGGTAATTATCGGGTTTATTTTGAAAGGATTGGGGAAGGGAGGGACCACTTTTGGCATTTATGGAAATTATGTTCACGGGGGATCGGGGTATATAACCCGTCACCCCCCAGTCCACCCTAACCCTAACCGATAGAGCGCAGCCGCCATCATCGGAGTCCCCTAGCCGCTACTCTCTCCACTATCATTCCCAGCCGACCACCACCCTACTCTTCTCGTTTCTCCGACCGCCGAAGCCACCGCAAGCCGTTGATGCCGGTGAGGATGCTTGCTTCCGTACCACCCTTCGCCGATGACGACAAGACCACCGCCTCCTGCCTCGTCGTATTCACTTTTTCTCCTCCCTCTCCTGTTCGTTGACGTTGCATCGCATCCGGTGGGAGTTTCCCACCCTAGCCGCCGCTGTTGGAGCCCTATGACAACCAAGGATCGGCGCCGCCGTCCCGCTGTTACATTGCTGCTGTTACTTCGCCACCCAAACACCACAGTCACTGCCTGTGACGTCGTGGGCGGCCGAGGAGGGAAACTGTCGAAGATCGGGGATGGGTTTTAGGCTGCTGCCGCCGTCAAGTCATTGCTGCTACCGTTGCTGCCCACCACAGGTGGGTATTGAGTTCATTTCCGAGTTGGGGCTGCTGGTATGTGTGGCTGATTGACTGAGAACCAAAGGAATCACCACCATCACCGTGAGGTGGTGGCTGCCATCCCAAGTCTGCTGTTGTCGCCGCCATGAGTGTGTGATCGGGTGTATGGTCCTTTTCTGTTGGCCGGAGTTGTCAAGAAACCACCATGGCCGCCAGCCATGGTGGCTGCCACCATGCACCACCGTGTTTATGTGTGTGTGTTAGTAGGTGCGTGTGTTTATTTGAGATTTAGCATTGTAAAGTGTAATTACAAATTGGAATAATGAAATGGAACTCAAACCACCACCGTAGGGTGGTGGCTGCCGCCTCCTACCGCCACCGGCCGCCGTGTCGGATGGCGGTGTGCTTAGTTGTGTTGTGATTCAGTTGGGATGTTTGGACAAGGGACTAAAACCCTAATGGGCCTTGTAAGCCCTAATTGACATTAAAGCCCAAACATATGTCTAATGGGCTTAGTGAACCCTAATGGATCTAATGACTTAGCTATTAGGCATAATGTGGGTTGGAAACCTTAATTAGGGTTTGGAAAACCCTAATGCAATGAATACCTAATTTTGAGAATTAATCAAGACACACACGCCGGAATTATTTAATAACTTGAGATATTAAATAATAATCATTGGCAAAGATTAATCTAAGCGATATTGGACTTAATGGATTAAGTCCTTAGAGGATTAAGTCCCTAATGGGTTAAGTAGGAAACTTAACCCAAATCATCATTTTATGTGAAACTCTAATTTCACCTGGCTTTATTGTTGGGCGTCTTGATGATTGGGTTAATAATGGGCCATCCAAGATCAAGCAAATGGACTAGAATAATTAATGGGCTTGGTGGTAAAGCCCATATGAGTAGTTGGGCCTAATTTGGAAAAAATTGGGCCATAAATGGGCCATAGTTTGGGCCTGTATGATGATGTGATATTGGTCCATTAGAATGTTGAATGTTGGACTGGACTAAATGGTTGGGCCTTATGGTAAGACCTTGTAAAGGCTTGGGCCCAATTTGGAAAATTGGGCCATATGTTGGGCTTTGATTCCCAGTTCACTTTGGGCCTATGGATTGGGTCTTGGGCTTGAATAAGTCAAGCTTGGGCTAATGTAGTAATTATCCAAAGAATGAGCTTATGGTTATGTGTTGGGATCCAATTATTAATTGGGTGTTATTTTGGTGTTGACAGTTCGGGAATCTGTCATCTAGCAGCTGGGGTTGAGTTTGCGGGACTTCAGCAGAGTGAGATTGTGTCTACGGGACTCCAGCAGTGTGAGGTGAGTTTCCTTCCAGTAGGAACGGGTCTAAGGCACCAAGGCCGGCCCGTATAGATGATATGTTAGTATCGGAGTGTGGGCAGAGCCCGTATCTTGTAGTTGAGTTTGATTATGATATATGCTTGTATGATAGAATTGTTTATACTCGTTGTCTGTGTGATACTTGTATGTTATGGTTTAGTAGTTGAGTGTGGGCGAGGCCTGTATCTCAGAGATAATGGAGTGTGGGTGAGGCCTGTATCTCCTAGATAGTGGAGTGTGGGCGAGGCCCGTATCTCCCAGCTAGCGGGGTGTGGGCGAGGCCCGTATCTCCATGAGTGTGGGCGAGGCCCGTATCTCCTAGTTGTTCATTATATGTGTATGGTATGTGGTATTATGGGGAACTCACTAAGCTTCGTGCTTACGGTTTACATTTTTGGTTTCAGGTACTCGTTGTCAAAGGAAAGGAGCCGGCTTGATCGCAGCGCATCACACTATGTTTTTTGCACATGAGATCTTTGGGATTACACTCTGCTATGGTTTTATGATAATATGTTTTGATTATTGACACTTTGGTTTGACATGAGATATTAATATGAATGTTTTTATACTGATGGTTTTATATAATAACTTAATTAAAACGAAATTTTTGCCTTGAATTTTGGGATATTACAATTGGTGTTTGGGAACATCCTTCACCACTTTCATTAGGATTAAGTCTTGGTCTTTTGGTAAAAAAACCACTTACTTTAACCTATATAAACATGACAATTTAACCTAATCAAAAAATAACTTCAATAAAACATAGAATTTTCACCTAATACCTAATCAAACAATAACATGTAAACCTAAAACATAGCAATTTTAACATATCAAACAATCAATTCAATAAAAATCATAGAAATTACAACTAATCAAACAATAATTTCTATAATAACATAGCAATTGTACCAAGTCATCCAAATATCCAATAACTTCATAGCAATTTTAACCTATAAACCATAGCATATTTGAATTTTGCTTATCAATTACAACTATAAATTCAAAAACCATAGAAAATTAGAAATACTTACTTGCTTCATTAGGGTTTGGAGCTTGGATTGAAGTTGTTTTGCACTTGGAAGTTGGAAATTGAATTTTGCACTTGGAAATTGTGGATTATCGGTTGAACTTGAAGAAGAAGATTAGAAGAATGAAGTCGTCAATTGTAGAATGTGAGAATTGTCGATGTGAGGTTGTGAGGATTGAGGACGAACAAAAGGAAAAAGACGAGCTCTTGTTTATTTTTTTTTTCTTTTGTGATTCAAGAATTAAGACTTGGACTCTTGGACCCAATTGGACAATTGGATAATTATTTTATTTGGGCTATTTCCTCATATTCTTTTTCTTTTGGGCTAATATTAGGTGGATTAAAAAAATATGTTTGGGCTTATAATTATTGGGGCTTAATTGATTCAATGTGTTTATATATATATATATATATATATATATATATATATATATATATATATATTATATATATAGGGTGAAGTTCAATAGAGAACCATAATTAACCAAGGAACCAAGGAACCAATATTTTTTTCAACTTTTAGAACTTATTTTTTATCAAAAAAAAAAAAAACTAAAAATACAAAAATTCATAATTTTTTATCTTTTTTCCAATAATATCAAATTCGAATTTTTTTTTATGTCAATCTCACATATATATATAATATATATCTAATATATAATATATATATATATATATATATATCTAGTAGTTGCCATTTTTTTTACGTAGTGGCACAAAAGGTAAAAAAAAAATTGAAAAATTTTCTACTGTCTTCCGGAAAAGTAGGTGTTACCGGTGCAACCCTGTGCCCCTCATCAAATCTGCCACTGTCAGGAAAGTTTACTTGGGTTAAAGATATCCCCATTAAAATTGTATGTTTCATCTGGCGAGCGAAAATGGGTCGCATCCCTTCGGCGAATCGTGGAGTGACTATAGATTAAAAAATTTGTAAGTATTGTGGACTGGCGGACGAAAGTGTGGATCACGTGCTAGTAAGTTGCTCATTCGCCAAATCAGTTCTAGATTGGATCTTAAGGTGGTGTAACATTCCAACGGTACATTTTCAAACGGTCCACGCCATGCTTGACTTTGCTTTGAGCTGTGGAAACTGTCCCAAGAAAAAGAACTGGCTGTTAGGAATCTGTTATGGAACCCTCTGGTGCATTTGGAGATCAAGGAACGATCGCTATTCAACAATAAAAAGGTGATCCTCGCGGAGGTAGCTGACACAATCAAGTCCTTGACATTCATTTGGGTTAAGCACAAGAGTGGTATTGGAGATCTAAAATGGATTGACTGATTTGTTAACCCGTTTATTCAATTGTAATTTGTTCAACTTGTTTGCCGTCTTGTACTATGCATTCATCTAGTTTCTTGTTAGACGGGGTGTATTTTTTCTTTGTTTCAATATATTTTATTCGCCGGTTAAGAAAAAAAAGCAAATTGATATTTTATACTAAATAATAAATGATTATCTTACTTATCAATTGTTGGTCTTTATTAAAGAAAACATCCTTCATTAATATAAAAAAGTAAAGCAATGATTAAACATGAGAAAAAATTAAAATATTTCTTTTTAAGTATTTGTTAATTTTGTTTAACTATTATATTTATGTTAAAAATATATTATTGGGATTTTTTTTTCTTAATTAGCATTTTTCGTCACGTGGTGCGTCACTGAGAATGGATTCATGTGTCCCATTTACTTTTTTTTAATTAGTTTAATTTCCATTTGCAATTATTAAATTATTTTCTTAGGTCTTATTTGGCAGTGCCGCGGCGACAGGTGATCAACAATCGTGTTTCTTGCCATCTTAATTAAAAATTAGCATTACTTTATTATCTTATACCACAATAAACAATCTAATAACTGCAGTTAAACTGTTCTGGAGTATAATTATTGATTATTAAATGCAATGTTTTAGAACCTTGGTATTATAATCTCGTGTTTCTTCCATTTAAAGCGAACAAACGTTGTCTTTTAATATTGTAAGTAATATTTCTCACAAGTCACAAGTCACAAATATTACATCATATTATGATTGAAATATATGAAAGTATGTTAATATCACGATCGAATTACTAATTATATGCTTAATTAAAGATCTTTTTGGTATCATCATATAGACATAGTATATCTTGTAGGAGATCATAGATCATCGAGCATGCTCTGTCTTTTTCACTTGTTTTTACTATATATATATTTTTTTCTTTTTTAGAGGTTTTATTTGCAAATAGCTAAGGCTACCTGCCATTTTTTAGAAGATTTAAGGTTTTGTTGTTGTATGTCTTGTAGGCATGATGAGTGAACTTGAACCAATAATAGTGTTAATAAATTTATCACATCCAAAAACATTGAACTATATGGGACAAATATTTGCTCTCGATCTCTATGTGCTAAATACAGAAATGCTCTCTTTATTTTCATTGTAACAAATAGTTCTAAAAGTCTTATCCAATCTATTACAATTTAATCATCTTACTCCATGTAACAAATGCAACACTAGTATGAGAAATTTATATATTGCTAAGTATTCATTAATTAGTAGTTGGAAAAGATGGTGGAATCTTCGATCTTGCACCATATATAATGATGTCATTAAAGAACATGTCAACAAGGACCGGACCACTTGATTCCTAATTAAGATGATGTAACTAATATTCTATTTCAACATGTTTCCATAAATAAAAAAGTACTTATATTTTTTTATTAGGTTATAATCAAGGCTGAACTGAAATAATATTGTTTATTCATGATGTAAGAATGCATTCCAAATAGAAATTATTATTTTTGGGTGATATGACATATTACGATTGAAAGATTTATTTGAACTTGTGTCATATTAAAAACATCATTTTTAAAAAAATATTTAAAACCTTTAATTAATCTATTTTTTGTCCCCTAATTTGAAATACCAAATATAAGCATGTTTGACTTAGTATAGAGAATTCAAGATATTTTGTTTAGCAGTTTTAATATGTTTATCATTTATCAAGTTCCATACTAACGTCAAATATTACATTTATTTGAAACAAAATAATAAGGTTTAAAGTTTAATCTCTCTTTATATATATATATATATATATATATATATATATATATATATATATATATATATATATATATATATATAGTGAGATCGGTTGACAACTCATAGTTTCCCGAGAACCCAATAACTAAAAGTGGAGCGTTAGATCAAAATTAATTCAATAAGGGCATGATCGTAATCATACTAATCTCATTTAATGTTTAATTTTTTGTGTTATTGGAAACATTAATAAAAAGTTTTAAAAATTAACATAATTAAAAAAAAAATAAAAAATATTAAAAAAACTGTAATTTTATCAAAAAACAACTGCATTAAAAAAAACTGCACTGCATCTTTTTTTCAAAAAAATTGCAATTTTTTCAGAAAAAAAAACTGCATTTTACATCCAAAAAAACTACAATTTTTTCAAAAATAAAAAATAAAACTGCTTTTCTTTTTAAAAAAAACAATATTTTTTTTAAAAAAATCTGCAAACTTTTCAAAAAAAAGCTACAATTTTTTAAAAAAACCTGTAACTTTTTTTTAAAAAATGTATTTTTTTTAAAAACTGTAGTTTTTTCAAAAACCACTTTTTTTTCAAAAAAACTGCAATTTTTTCAAAAAGATACTATTTAAAAAAAAAACTGTATTTTTTTAGGTATGTATATTTTTACAAGTGCATATATGCATATTTCATATATTATAATATTTGTAAATGAATCATAAGAAAACTCATTTTATTTACTAATCTATAAGCACAATACAATAAGTATTTTATTCGATACAATATAAAAATATCAAAAACAAAAAAATGCTATAAAATTTCAAAGCGTTTTCATGTTTTCGTGTCAATATTTCCATATTTTCTTCAATTTATTATTTTTCACCTCTTCAATATTCACCACAATTTCTTCCAAATCTACAAAAAAAATAAAAAGAAATTTATTGATGCAAAAACACTCACAAAAATACATATGTGATTTACATGTGAATCGCATGTAATTCATATGTGATTTACATGTGAATCACATGTAATTCATATGTGAATTACATATGATTTACATGTGAAGCACATATAATTCATATGTGAATTACATGTGAATCACATGTAATTCATATATGAATTATATGTGATTCATATGTGAATAACATGTGATTTACATGTGAATAACATGTGATTTAAATGTGAATCACATGTAATTCATATGTGATTCACTTGTGACATGTGATTCATATATAATTTATATATAATTCACTTGTGATTTACATGTGAATTATATGTGATTCATATGTGAATTACATGTGATTTTCATCTGAATCACATGTAATTCATATGTGATTCACTTGTGACATGTAATGGTTTTTTTTTATTTTATAAAAAACCATTTTTATAAAGTACACCATAATGCATTAACAAAAGCAGACCAAACCAAACCAAACCTTTGTTTATGAGTGAGGAACGACCATTTGTTGTTTCTTTATCATGTTTTACCATGCTGTAAATAAATATACATATATATCAAGTAATTAAATAAAATGTTACAACACTATTTTTTTTCTTTACTACAGAACTTGTCATAAAATGTTATAAACATCTCTCTTGTAAGTAAATAACGAAAAAGAAACAAACTTGAACTTAGTGGTTTACGTTATATCACGAGGTGTAATAAATTTCCACTATGATCCTTCTGCCAAAGCAAAATCCACAACCATATCCAAGCTTATTTTCCTGCTCACA